AGGTTGTACTTCAGCACCTTTCTCTTGGGAGTTTCCTGGCAGAGGGTCTTCCACACCCACCTGGTTCCTCTCCCTCAGCTGCCCCCCACATTCACAGCACCCAGCCTGTACAGCCCAGGGCTCACAGACAGCCCAAGCTGCCCCATGTGAACCCCCGCAGGCTCCTCCACAAACCGACAGCCCTTGCCCACCACAGACACACTGTGCACACCGAAGACCTGTTCTCACACACATGGCAGTTGCTCACCTGTTTCCTTGCCTGCTCACTGCCAGACCCAGCACAAGAACTGAATCCCTTCTCTGGTCTCGTTACATCCTGTCACCTCAGTATCGACTGTCCTTTGAGCAAGCCGATTCTGTCACCTCTGTCACCAGCTGCAGATGGTGCAGCAGTGAGGAGGTGGCAGTGGACTAAGGCAGCCAGCATCTACAGAGCCTGTACCAAGAGCTCTGCTTTCAAACATCCCATGACTGCCCCTGCACGTCAGTCTCTAGGGAGAGCAGGCACATTAATCATCTCCTACATGCTTTGGGACCTGCACAGACCACACACAGCCACCACCCCCCACCAGGGACACCTCTTACCCCTTCATCCCATAGCCAGCCACTTCCGATGGCATGACCTTCTCTCATTTCCCAGGGCCAGGCAGCGTTGGTGCCACACACTCTCAATCACCCCTACTCAGCTAACTGCCCCTTCACCCCTCCCCAGTGCCTTGCCTGTCCCTTGGGGCAGCCACAACCAGCACTAGACCTGAACCCGATGAAAACCCTACCTGCTGCACCTCACATCCAAAAGTAGCTCTGACCTGCATGGGCCTCCAGCCCCCCCCAGCCCTGTCCTCTATGCATTGCTAGTATTGCAGCTCTACTCAGGAGACACCACGCTGGCTGGTGTGGCCATGCTTCCCTTTCTGACCCACCATGCCCACTTACTTGCCACTTGCAGCCCAGGATATCCTCAGCACACCCTCCATACACTTTAGGCCACATCTCAGCAAAGACAGCCCTGTGCCTTCTGTGAACAGCTGAACACCTCCTTCTGCAATGGATTCACAGTGGACCACCCCACACCAATTGCTAAAATATTGCTGTCACATGGCACCAAACCTCAAAATGCTGACAGTGTGTGGCAGCAACCTCACTCGAAAAACAGGCACGTCGCCAAACACTTATTTTTTAGACCTTCTGACATACTCCTGCCCTATGCCCAGCTCTCATAGAATCATAGAATGGCCTAGGCTGGAAGGGACCTTAGAGATCATCTAGTCTGACCTCCCTGTTGTGGGCAGGGATGCCACCTCTCAACTAGACCAGGCAACACATGGGGACTCTCATGCAGGCCTTGCCCATCCTGGACATTTAACTCAGTTTCCAGCCCGAGCCACAGCTGGGCAGAGCAGCCTGTCGGGGAGTGGGATGGGGCTGAGGGCTGCTGGCATCAGCTCTCGGAAGGTAACACTGCTGATGCTTTGTCAGCCATGATGCACTCACTGTTGCGCTTCATGGGCTGCACAGTCAGCAACCCTGTCCCCTCACTGTCCACCTGCAGACTCACTCAGACTGTGGTACCTAAATGTATTTAGGCAGCTACAGACCTGACACACCTCAACACACCTCACACAGGAGTCAGTGTTGTCCTCACCAAGCACCTGAGGCTCAGGACTCCATTTCTGAGCCACTTCTCTGGGCACAGAGCAGGGAGCAGCAGCTTCCCATCAGTAGCACCAGCTCTCCATCCATCTCACTCCTACAGAGGACTCCCTGCACCTCACAGCCCAGAACAAGCACCCATCTGCAGTCCAGCCTGCAAAGCACCTCAGGGAAAGGGAGGGAGCCAGTGAAGGGGGATGAGGGGGAGAAAAGAAACCAAAACCACACCATCTACACAGGTATGTAAGTGTCAAACGCCCTTTAGTGGTAGACAGAGGTGCTGCTGCCCGAGCAGCCCGGCCCCACGTACAGGTTCACGCTGTGCCGTTGCCCAGAGTACCTGGCCCTTCACCGGATATGCACCATCTCCTCCAGGAAGGGGGTTTTCATGCAGCCCGTGCAGAGCTGATCCATCCAGAGCGGAGCCTCGTGCTGCAGAGGGGTGCGCCGGGGGTAAAAGGTGAAATTCACATCATAGTTCACCGGGCAGCTGATGGAAGCCATGTAGATATCGGAGAACCGAACCAGCCGCCGAGAGAAGTACGTGGGGTTGTGGAAGGTACGGAAGATGCTTCCAAACTGAGGGTTGAACAAGTTCTTTGTCAGTGACCTGAGAGGAAGGAGAGTGTCTTCTGTAGATAAAAGGTCATGGTCACAGATTTTTCCCCCTCCAGTCCCACAGCCCTGGGCCACCTGACTCCCACAAGACATACCTTGCTCACTCCACGTACCCTCCCACCGAAAGCTGTGGGGCAAACCAGTCCCTGTGCAATGAGACTGGTGAGTATTCAGTGCACTCGGACTCTTGCTGGTTCTGGTACCTGTTACGGGCAGTATCTGCTGTGCCAGGAGCTGCGGTAGCAGACAGGCCCAGAGCAAAGGGTCACACCACCTCCCCTTTCCCACCCTGTCTTCAAACCCAGCGCTGAAACATCCCAGGCTGCAGGGCTGTTCTGCTGATTCTGCCCCCGACCCTAGACAAGTGACACCAGGGAGTACCACAAGCCACCACCCCCAAAATGGGTTACAACACAGACCCAGGGCAGGGTCTGAGAGACCTCACAAGCAAGGAGGACAACACTCACCTGATCTCCTGACGTTCCTTCATCCACTCCAGCAATACTTGCTTCGACTCTGCATCCTGATACATCTGCAAAAACAGCAGAACACACCATGTTGTGTAGGTCCTGCAGGCCATATCTCTGCTGCCAGACCTGCTTCTGCTGTAACTCACACACCCACAAGTCCACTGCACCAGGACGAGGAAGAGAGATTTTTTGAGAGCACAGGAGAGATAGTACGTCCCCATCCACACTAAGCCCAAAATGCAGATTCAGTAGGTAGCATATTACCCACCCTGCTCAGATGGGAGTTGTTTACCTGCATTCTCTCCAGCAGCCCTGTCAGAGCCTGCTGCCAGGTCAGGGAGTGCATGTACTGCTCTGTGTTTATGATCCGAATCTCCGTCTCCAGTTCAGGAACGATGGCTCCAGTCCTCCAGCCATGACGCAGCATAAGGTCCTAGAGGTCGGGGTGAAAAAAACAACCAAGAATTCAACAACGACTGAAAGCCAAACACAACGCTGTTTCCTAGAAGAGTGGTCTGTTCTCATAGATTCTCAGGGGACAGGCATCCACAGGTCATGCCAGTAACAGCCGTCTCCGGGCCACCACGATCAACTGCATGAAGGATCTAGAAATGTGGGATCTGCACAAACCACTCTCAAATTCACAGACCAGCAGAGATCATCTTTACCCACAGAAAGTCCTTTGCAGGAGTCCTTTCTCCACTGCTTGTGTCTGCCTGACATCAGCGTCTCGTGTGCCCCAAAAGCTGCAGCCTGCAGGAGCTCAGTGCAGTGCAGTGGAGACCTGAACACTCAGAGCAGGGCCCTGCCTTACACGCCAACGCAGCTGTCACCACAACAGACACATGGGCTTGCTCCTACCTCACTGAAGAGCAGAGACCTCTTCACTTACCGCAAGGTCACTGTAAAGATGGTCACCAAAGTAGAGCACTTTTGATCCACGCCAGCCTGTCAGCCTCAGAAAATCAAAGAGGTTACCCTGCAAGTAGAAGGAGCACAGAGAGAAACGTGGTTACAGGCCAGATGTCTCCAACCTCACTGCATGGTCCTGGGCAGCCACGCCAGCAGCACCGTCAACACAACCCGACGTGCCACCTTACCGCCTGAGATGTGAGCATTCTCATGAGATGTCAACCTGCTCGCTCCCCCACCATCCAAATTCAGAGGTTTCTGTCCTTTCCCACCTTAATTCACTTTCTTGCCATGTGACAAACCTCCTGTTCATCCCTCAGCTCTCCTTAGGCTATAAAAGAACCAGAAACTCTTCTGACCCCAACAGGCAATTCAGGGGAAGTTCTGTGATCTAGGGCACAGCAACTGGAGACTAGTACAACTGAAAAGGCAACAAACGGGAAGTAGTTAAGAGGCTGAAAGACAACTAAGAAAAGCCTGAGCTATGGACAGAAAGAACCCCAGGTGCTCTCGGTTTAGAAGTTGTTGGGTTCAGGTGATAATGAGTTCATCTCACAAGATGCATCAAAGGTAAGGTGAACACCATCATGCAAGGCTTTTTTTGGTCAAGAGCTCTTGAGGCTGTTCTCACATCACTGATGACAAAATAATTTGACCCAAAATATGTTCACAAGAATTGCTTAACCAAGCCAAAAGGCCAGGCAGCTTGAGCACATTCACAGCTTAGTAAAACAAACCAAACCCCAAAGCACCAGTTAAAGCAGAGCACAGAGCAGCTTTCAAAGCCTTCCAACCATCATCCAAACACAGAAGAGACTTCAGGGACTCCCCTCCGCCCCTTTCCATCTTCACAGAAGTTTTCCACATGAGTCACAAGGGAAACTAAACCCACTAGGAAAGGAAAGGGCCTCATCAGTGCCAGCAGCCCAGCACAAGCAATCAATGCAAACATGCAAGCTACTGGGCAGCAATCTCTCCAGTACCAGGAAGGAGCTAGCATGCCTACCCACCTACCCACCTACCCACCTACCTGCCAGCATCGGCCCAGACAGAAAAACCTTGAAAACAAGCCAGCTCCCACGACAGCCTGCAGCCCTGCATCTGGCCACTGGCAACACACTCTAGGCACTGCAAAGAGTGACAGGAACCGAAGAGTTGGGCCTCCTGGTGCTACAGCATTACTGGACCTGTGCAGACTTCCCTTAGCAGCATGCAAATGCAGGGCCAGTTGTTCTTCGACACGACGGTGCTGCTGCTTGCTTGGGGGTTGCTCTGGAGCCACTGGCAAAGCAGGGAAATGGACCAGAGCCTTGCAGGGAGGCTGGTCCTTCTGCTGTGCTCCAGTCACCTCAAACAGCAGCAGACCTGGCAACTAGGAAAGTTGTGCTTGGACCTCCACTGAGCCACAGACCTGTTAGGTGACCTCCTGGAACTGGTTGTCCTCCTGAGGTCGCAGGCTAGGGGCGAGACCGGAGTACATACACGCCACAAACAGAAAACACCACATCCATCAGAAAGGAGGGACTAGAGAGCCTGCACTTGACCTTCCCCATCCTCAGTGCAAAACACTGATCCCTGCAGTCCCATGTGTACAAGATACCCACAGCACAACCACCACAAAGCTGTGCTTCAGGGGACGGGAACCAGCCAGCTCAGAGGCCTCTAGCAACAGCAACAGCACAGCAAGGTCCATGGCCACTAACACTTGCCAGAAAGAAGCCTGTTGTGGCATTCTAGGAAACCAAAAAATACTGGGGACAGGGTGTACTACAGCTGGGATACACATGCTCTCACATCCCAAAATCCACAGTTAGGCAACAACCCTGACATAGTCAAATGAACACCATGGTGGGGGAGAATTGGAGAGAAGCCCAAAATCGTACCCATCCACTCTCAGTGCACCATTCACTTGGGTGAACACTCCTGTGGCCACACGATGTAGGTAGTCAAGAGCAGAATTTAATCCAGCAATAAACCCCGTGGCTGAGGTGCACTTCTCCTGAGGGAGCTGCTAACACAGTGTGAAAGTTGGCCCATGGGAGAAAGACTTTGTATGAGCTCTACTTTCACGTTCCCAACTCCTAGGTCTTTACAGAGGATGGGACACTAGCAGCGAGCTTCGACAGATCCATTGGACAGACCAGAGGCTCAGTGACATGACCTACTTTTTACCACAGGTCAGGTCTCAGCTACTTGACAGCAATCTCACTAACAGCTTGTTCCCGTGGGATTGCACAGCTCATACAACCAAGAACAAACCATCCTACAGCCAGAGGCAACTTGTTCTCAGGGGCCAGATCAGCTGCAAGAACACCCCAAGGCAGCAAACTCCTCAGAGTAACAGCCCACCCTTCAGACACATTTGTCCTTTAGGAAGGAGAGGAGCCAGGCTCGGTACCCTATTTGATCGTTCTTGTTTTTCTTGGTGTCTTCTAAGTCCCCACCACTTCAGACATCTGTTTCGTAGCCCTTATGCACCCATTCACTTTACCTCTTTGTAGATTTTTCCTTTCTCCAGCTGGTTTATTTTGTCCCACTGCAGTGAGCCTTTATCATCCAGTTTTCGAAAAGGTCTGGGAAAAAAGGAGGGGGATGTCAATGCCTTTTCATTTTTAGCAATTGTTACCCAGCAACGACAACATTTGTATCAGAAAACTTGTTTACCTATGTAACAATTCAAAATAAAAGCTCTACGTGAGAAGTGACCTTCTGCATCATTTTCTCAGGGGAAGAGAAAGTAAGAGGAGGGAATATATTTTCAAATCGCTTCCATTGACTGTAACCATTTCATGCCGCTATCCCTAACAACTCTTCTTGCATTTTAGATACAGGCAAGAGGAAAAAAATAGTAATGACTCCCTCTGAAATGCTAAGGTCAAGAAGTCTTTGCCATGACATGTTTTGTGTGCTTTTCTAGTCTGGCTATGCTTCAGCACAACAGAGACCATGGAATGTCTTAAGAGCATAAAGCAGTCTGCAGAGGAGATAGAAAGCCGTCTCCATGTTGAGCTCAGCAGCTGACCTGAGCTGGCTCCTGTTCCTGAGGGCTCTCCTGGTTACCTTCCACTTGGACGGGAGAAGCCAAACAAGTCTCAAGTTACTTGACCCCCACGAACATTCATGCTTGATTGGACCATTGCTCCCTCTTTGGCCATGAGCTCCGGGATCAAAAGCCTTGGTATGAAGCTGCACGTAGAGTACAACCTCATCCAGAAATGGTGTATGATCCTGAGCTGCCTCGGGGCAGAAGGAATTCAGCCTCCCACTATGAACGCTACAGCCTACCCATGCAAGAGGCTCCTCAACCGCAAGTGGTCTCCACACATTTTTCCCTCAGAGAAAACACAGTTCACTGGAGCTCACCATCAGGAGGTTCCCCTCACCCTGGATGGATGCCATGTCATTCCACTGGTCCACTCCATGAATGGACCTTAGGCATCATGCAACCATAAGGTTTTATCTCCTACAGGGCCAGATCATCATAGCTCCAGGCTACACCTGTAAGACACTTCACCCACATCCCGTGAAGAAAACCTTTACATGGTCAGCATAGCTTGTAAAGCCATTTTGTAGATTTACTTCTGTTTATGCTAGTGGCCTGGGAGATAGGGGAAGAAAATAAATAAAGAGGGAAGAACAGACTTCCCCCTCCTGGTCAGTCATAAGTTGAGGCAACAAAGCAGACACAAGTTGCTAAAGCCAATAATCTAAAAAGCAAAGCAAGGATAGCACCGTGCCTATCAGCTAGTCCCTTGGCAGCGCCTAACTGACCAAAAGTCCAGCTGCCATGTACAAAGGCTTCCAGAGCTGCCATCTACCAAATAGCATGGATCTAGTAACTAAAAAAAAACAAAACACCAAAACAACAAAAAAAAATCACACAGATATTTGCTGTGGGGAACAGGAAAAGAAAAGGTTTTTGGCAGACTCTCAGGACCTAGAGCCAAGAAATGGTCAGCTCTCATCTTTTATCTCCAAAGATTTAAGTACATTCTTACCCACAAAAATCTTAGTTAAGTCCAGACCATGACAAAACTGATGAGGCTTAAGACAGCCAATTTTAGATATGCACTTTCTGCTTATTCCACTTATTCCCAGACTGGCCAATTTTCATCTCCTCAGAGAGTATCTGAGAGGAGAGCTGCAGGCTGGATGCCTACTGGACCTATATTACGCTTAGAAAGCCACCACTCTTTCGGATGACCCCAGGGAAGGGGCCCAGATCCTCGGGCCACGTGCAGTATTGCCCCAGGACACGTACTTCCGCCGATCAGTGAAGAAGTTGGGCTTGTCGGCTTGCACAATGACCATGTCGAATAAGTCCCGCCAGTTCTTGCCAACCATGTGTTTCATTCCTTTGTCCCTAAGTGTAAAGGAAGCGAAAAGTTAAAAGATCTGGTATTCTCTTTCACCCAGCACTGCATCTTCACAGCAGTGTGTCATAAATTTACTCTCAGTTCAGTAACAGAGAAGAAAGCATAGAGATTTGTGACTCCCCCAAGGCTCTCATTGCATGCAGTACTGATGTAGCACCTGGGCTGTCTCAAGCTGCCCTACCCTTTCTCCTGTACCATGGGATGGCCAGAGAAGTCCGTAATACAGCAGAAAAAACACTAGAGGTAATCCAAAGCAACAGCTCTGTAACGCTGTGGCCAGCCACAGCCTTCTATCATCTTCAAAAAGTGAGAGTTGATGTAGAGCACACTGCGGGGTGCAACGTTCACCACAAACAGTTCCCAGGGAGCACTCATAGGACTGTTGCCACAAAACCCTCTAGCATCCAACGTTCAGATGCTCACAGGAGAGACCACAGCTTTAGCTGTGCTGTGGTGACCCATCGTTGTGCAATAGCAGTACTTACACAAAGCTAAAGGGGCTGTTTGTAATGAGGAAGAGTTTCTTCTTGTGGTTCACCAGTCGGTTTAGCACAGCATAGATTTCATCCCCATGCAGAATATACTGTTCTGTATTGGAATAAAACAGACAGCATCAATCATGACCACATTTCTGTAAGAACAAAAAGAAACCTAGGCCCTGCACCACCAGGGATGCAAAAAGCTTGAGTTAGAGCCACTGCGGGCAGGTAGGTAGGGAACCACCATGGTGACAAAATGGCCTTCCTCATCCTCATCAACCCCATCGAGAGGGAAGAGAAAGACCGAGGAACTGAAGAGGCTGGCAAAAAAGGAGGTTGATACTAAACCATCACAAGGAACAGGCATAGCTGCTCCAGGCCATGTTGTATCAGGAGCTCTCTTTTCCCTGAATGACCAGGAAATATTCCCAGAAGGTGCCTTTGCATGTTCACGTCATGCCATCCCTTGCTTGCAAGATGAAGGAAAACAGAAGCACGAGCAACGAGGTAGCCTTTTCCTCCATTACAATAGATACCTGACCCTAAATATCACTTGGCTCTTCATACTCTATACCCCTCAGCTGCCTTTAGGTGCCACAATCAAGTATTTTAAGTTCTGTGTTGCCCTGACTCCTTTGACTGCGTGTAGGGCCCATTTAGTCACCTCACACAGAACGACACACAGTACGAGACACATCAAAATGGATTTTGCACCAGAGCTCTACTTAACTCACCCAGATCTTTTTCAATCCATTTGTACATCACTCCTTTCACATGTACATCTCTAATAGCATCCTAAAGAAAAAGACACAGAAAAAAGGTTCTGTTTTACATATGGCATTCCTTTTTCCAGCATGCAAACCTATTGCCACCACTGATGACCAACACGGTAATGTCACATCCCATTTTCTTGACAAATGAGCAAAAGCTACATTAATGTTAAGCAGAGGACCTTGTAAAACAAAACTCACTGACATGCCAAAAAGAACACAGTGGCGAGCTCAACTGATGCAGTACAAGGGGGGGGAACTCTCAAAACTTATCCAAGAAAAGCACAACTTCCTTCTTGCTCCTGTTAGCACATCGTTACCAGGGCAACTGAGGCAACTCCAAAACCACTTACTGGCCAAAAATGTGCAGGCCCAGACACTACCTGGCTTTTCCTCCTCCTTGTGTCTGTGGAAGCTCTGCCAAATGTGACCCAAAGGCTGGGAGCATGGCTGAGGTGAACAGCAGCAGAGCTGAGCATCTGTGATGCCAAAACTCTCCCCACAAGCCAAGGAGGGCTCCAGCTCCCAGGCCTGGATGGCCAGTGGGCGCAGGCAGAGCAAAAGTTCCCACTAGGAGGGTGAGGGGGTTTTGCCAAAACAGGGCTGCCCACTTCTCAGTAGGGAGGCAAGTTAAAACAGTTATTGTCAAGGGCATCCAAACAGCCTCTGTTTTCCAGGCCTGAGGCCAAGATGCAACACATTTTTGGACACACCCAACTGAGATTCTTCCCAAGTCTCCATCCAGTGAGATATGCCAGATACACAAAACCATCTCCAGAGCACCAACACATTTTGCAGTGTTTGCACATGCAAACACTCGTTGTAACTGTGGCTACTTCTTCTTCTTCCCTGACAATTTATAGACAGGTAAACAAATGCTGCCTTTCCCCAGGACCCTAAGTCACTGTCACACTACGTGTGCTCCTTTGGGAGTTACTGTTTCAGACTGGGTTCCCACACTCACCAGTGACATTGCTGCAGTGACACTAGCACACAATGCCACGCAGTCAGCTGGTCTCACAGCAGTGCTGGTGAAACCTGCTCATCACCCCAAAAATCATTTCCTTCGAAGCTGGGAGAGAACCAGCATTTACATCTTAGATGGAGGACAGTGAAGGAGGAGGTGTTACTTCTTCAGAACAAGAGTTTTAGGACTCTTTTTGCACCTTGTGGATTTGAACGGTAAAAAGGCAGAGGTCACATCTCATTCACCAACAGACTCCATTACTGGAAAGAAACTGAGCAAAAAGCAAGAGCGCTGGCAAGAAAACAACTTTCTCTTGACCAGCACTGGCACTAAAACCAAGCAATGCTTTGGATTTCTATCAAAACTACTTTTGCAGAGCAGAGGTTCCAGTGTGCTCCCTTCCTAAATCCTTGTCCCCAAAAGGAAAAGAAAGGGGAAGAACTAAAAGGTTCCTATGGGCAAAATCTATCTTGGTAGCCTGGGGACGTGTCAAAAGGACTCAGAACTCCTCCAGAGGAAAGCAGGGCAAACTGCAAGTTCTTACCCTCAAATACAAAGCAACCAGATTGGTTTGCCAGGACACGTCAGCTTCCACCTTTACTCTTGCCTCAGGGTCTGCCCTTCTGAATCAGTGCAGTGTCTGTAGCGCTCAGGCTGCTCCCAAACACACCGCCTGCCATCGGGGTTCCCACTGAGAATTACAAAGACTGTCAGGTTTAGACATGTCTTAACAACAGCTGGGGCTGTGCAAGTCCTCTCAAGATACCAGAAGGATCTCTGTGCTCATGTCTGCAAATCATTTCCTTGCACTTAAGCACTGCAAAGGGCTAAGTTTTGACAAAAATGCTTGTTTATACTCATTGTACAGAAAAAAACCAAGAACCCTTCTGGTGAGAGCACAGGTCAGTCCCCAGGCTTTCAGTACAGGTGTCCCGGTTTGAGAGCCCCAGGAAAAAGTTCGGTGGGGCTCCTGGCACAGGTGGCAATCATGACGGGGGAAGGGCAGCTGTGCCTATGGGCAGGAGAGAGTCAGGTCCCCAGATGGACCGATCACGCTGTTCCTTCCCATGGTGCTCAGTATAAAAGGGCCCCTAAGAAGAGCTCAGGGGCTTTCAGGGCCTGCTGTGTGGGGAGGGTTGCTGCTGGCTGGTGCTCTCCCTGTGCTGCTGGTGTTCATACCTCCTGTTTTCACACTGCAGAGGAGCACCCTTCGTCAGGACAGGTTGTCTTACTGTGTCTCCCTGGTGGGAGCAGCACAGCTCCTTTCTGGTTTTTTTGGTGAGTTTTGGGGTTTTTTTGACTATCATTAGGACAGTGGGCTCAGGTGCTCCTGTCTGCTTCCAAGTCCAGTCTGGGACTTTTTCTTTTCCTGCTCAGGACCTTGTCAAGACCTGGAAGGCACAGGTCTTGTATTAACATATTCTTTTGTATCTTTGAGGATATTTGTGTACTTGCATGTATATATCTGTATATAGTTTGACATCTTTATTGTTACTGTAAATATTTTTCTCTTTTTTTGCATTGAACTGGTTTGAGGGTTTTTTCAGCCTCAAAGGTGCTCAAAGATGAGCACCTTAGTTCCCCTGTTATCCTTCCCTGGGAGGTTGGTGGGTGGATCACAGAGAATGTCTGTCCAAGTTTAGTGTCCAGCCCGGCCTTAAACTTTGACAATAGATTTCAGGCACTGTCACAGGTCTCTTTTCTCTGCCTACCTCAGTCACTCTTCAGGAGTAACCACATCCCTCAGCAAAGGATGTGAAGACAAATGCTAGGATTAGCACTTGGGATGTGGGGGTTTGAGCACACCATTTGCCCTGTGTTGAGTGTGTATGAGGCTGTGGCAACTACCCACCTACTCTCAATTCAGTTAGGAATGTGTCCATGACACATTGAATGACGTCAAAAGAAGGTTCAGAAGCCACTCTTGACAAAAGGCCTCAGGAGTCAGCTGTATCCCTTCTTCCCATTTTTCCCACCCCAAGAGGGAAAACTACACCAACTAATGCCTAGAAACTTGCTAAGGTCTTGTGGGAAACTGGCTGGCATGCTCTTATCAAGCACTAACAGGTCAGAAAGTAAGTTGTAATCCCTGACTGCAGCAACGCTGACATGGTGGATCCTTATCACAAAAGCAGCAGCACAGATGTGGAGCTCCACCCCGCGCACAAGAAGACCGAACAGGGTATGTATGGGCTGCTACCAGTCGGTGAGCAGAAGATTCCCACGAGGTATAAATCAAAAACCCCTCTCTATGGAAGAAGGCACGTGATAAGCCTTGGCTACCAAGGAAGATGCACTGTCTGTCAAGAGAAGTTGCCCAGGGCTGCAGTTTCAAGTACTTACATCTTGCCTGCAGTATAAATTAAGAAGTCAAAACAGCACCTTGTAACAATGCTGATAATCTCAAGCAGCACTTTCAAATGGCAGGACTGAAGGTGGAGGGCACAGTTAGCAACTTGGAGTAACTTGGTCACCCACTGGAAAATGATCCCAAAAGGATCAGACTACTCTGCAGCTGCAAAGGGAAGGGGTAGATTCTCAGATCGGGCAAGGGCAAGTGTCACAGCAAACCGTTTCGTGCATGGTCAGGCCAAGCCTCTTTGAAAAATAATATATTAACAGGAAAACATAGAGCTTAAAAGTCTGCAGAACCAGAAAACATTTACACAAGCTTTGTGATATTTCCCATAGCAGGACCTTCAATCTAACCAGCCTAGGGGATCTTGCAAGAGATAACATACAGTAACACCAACTCTCTAGTCCAGACAGAAACCTAACAGGTTCTGAAAATACAGCTTTGAACGTTCCCTGGTAAGGCTACTTGCTAACACGTTGGCTGCAGAGCTCACTGGTGCTAACAAGCCAAAGAGCTCAAAATTCTGATGTGGTATGAGCTACGGGGCAGTTATCACTTTACTTACAGATATATCCTTGTAAAGGTGGACCTGGTCAAACTCAATGCCATGAGTTATGAAGTAATCAATGACTGAAGAGAGCAGTGTCATCTCAGGAAGAGAAAAAATGTCCATAAACTGCTTAAGTGATGGACCCTGGAAAGCAAAAAATATCGAGACACATTAAACAAAATTCTAAAAAAACCAAGCCAAAAACCAAAGACAACAAACAAATTTGTATCAGCCAGTACCATGCAGAAGAAAAACACTGCTGTGGAAAACTCAAGCCACTCAAGTGGCGCTCTCTTCCCAACCAAAACAGTAACCTAATGCATTAACCCTTGACAGGAGAGAGGTTTCTCCTTCATAGAAATCATTAAACTTGGTATCATTACCACCATGGGGTGAAGGTGGAAGAAGCAGGGAGTCAGTCCTAGACATTTACTTTTATTTCAACCCCATGCCCTCTGCTTCCAATGTGGCCTCTTGGCATTCCAGAGGTGCCAACAGACAACATTCTGCCACAGAAGGAGCTGTGGCCCTTGCTGGAAGTGCCCTGTTGCTCATCTGAACCAGGCTGTGACATTGGACACATGGGCACCAAAGCATCTCTTACCACGTTCCAGTGAGGTTTCACACAGCAAAGCAAGAATCACTCCAACAAGCAGTTTGTCAGTGCCTGTCTGCCCTTGAGTCACTATGGAAAATGCAGGATGGGCACAAAGAAGATGGAAAAGAAGTTCAGCGTGCCCAGCAGTCAAGTGGAAATGGACAATTAAATCCTGACCAAGGAATAATTCACCTTGCATTAAGGCAAGGTTGCAGCTCTCCCATACGTTTGCTATTTTTATCACCTGTCAATCACAAATCTATCAGCAGATCAACAGCCAACTTCAGGTCCAGAGAGGCCTTCCAGTAAAAATAAAGCTTGTTTATTCAGTATGTACCACCTGTGCAGAGGACCATGGTGAGTCTCACTGGCGAGCTGAAGCTGGAATAAATATTTTCATCCTTTGTCACTGAAGTGCCAGATCAGCCAAGGGGACAGTTACTAAAAAGCAATTTGGGAACTGCACAGACCTCTCGATGAACCCGGCCACCAGAGGTGCCCTGGCAATCCAGTTACATCACGCCTGTGCACGTGAGCTTTGAGCAACCCGTGACTGACAGCCGCAAGGTTGCAACTCTCTAGGCTAATACATCAGAAGGCATTTATCATACCTATGTGAAAGATAGACATGAAAGCAGCATCCAAAAGACCACAGAAAGTACCCATGGTGGAAGTTGACAGAGGGCACGTGCTGCCTAACGACAAACATGTGCCGCTGTCACGTCAGGATGTAACAACAGTGAGATCGGCCTTTTAGTCCAGTCTTGCAAGGGCAGAGCAAGAGACTGGCACTCTTAGCAGCACCATCTAAAGGCCATACTGGGACAACACAAATTGGGATCAAGAAAGAAGATGCAGAAGGGCAAAGGAGTAACAAACAGCATTTTGCCTGAGGTCTGTTACCAAAAAAATGCTGCGATTAAAAGCTATGTTGGGATGCTGAGGGTTATACAATTTCTATCCATCCAGCACAGGGTAACTTGACCTACAGCAGAAGAGAACACAAAGAACACCCTCTGGTCTGGGCCACATATTGCAGAAGTTGGTGCTGCTTAGGATACTTGCTGAATCCTTTCAACAGGCTTTTGTCCATTTTTGATGTGTGGCTGTTAAAGGAACATCTCTCCCACCAGCAACACCAACGTTTGCTGAAAACAGCCCCACACTGTTTTTTTTTCCCTGTTCAGAGATTCTGGGAAAGAAGCAAGAGGGACCCAGACAGGCAATTATTAGGTATGGGATTTAGCAGAACACAGCAGAGTAACGACCTGTCCCACCGAGACCTTAAGCGCAGTTAAATGTTCAGTATTAACAGCAAAGACTTTACCCTGTAGGTACTCAATTCTGATTTCATTTTTGTGCCTTATACCATTATCCTAGAAGGCAAGTCCAGGCTCCCTACCCTTAGTGGCCTCAACTTCCTTACAGCAGACATAGTGACATAAGTTAGGATGAAAACTGGGCTGTAGTTTTAGAAAGAACACTACATATGCTTTTTTCTACAACACCCATAAGTTCCCCACCTTCATTATAGGCCAGCACTAGCCCTGCCAGTGACAGCCACAGCAGTGGCACTATCTAACCCCGGGCAAGATCTGCACCTACCTACTCTAGGTGTTAGGATGCCAATAGGCTGCCCACACACTCCTAGCCGAACGATATACTGATTTTTTTTCAGTACTACAGGAGAGCAGAGAACACCTGAGAAGTACAAAGCAACACAGAAAGGCACCTTGGAATGAGCACCTGGTCCTATGAAAGGCCACAACTTTCAAAAGAAAGGTGACATCATCTCAAGTTTGACAAGAGTGAGGAGAGCTGCAGAGGGAGGCTAACTGAGTGCAGTTTACAGACAGGTACCAAATTTGAAACAGAAACATCCTATTTCAAAGCTTGAAACAATAGTGATATAAACAGAGTACATATTTATCTAGAAAGCAATCACTCAGATTAAGTGTTCTCAAGAGAGAAAGAGTAATCAAAAAAAAATGACCTTGCTGGAGACTTCACAGGGCAGACTCAAAGTGGCATGACTAGAGGAAGCTCCTACCCTTCTCCTTCCAGCCTCCCCTTAAGGCAACAGAACTAACAAAAGGCAAGAAACAAAGTAGCTGTTGAGGGGTAAGGGATGTGAATGGTCAGCATACCCACTGCACCACACCAAGCACCAAAGGCAACCAAAGGATTTCTACAGCTCCTATGGACAGAATTTCAGTCTTTCTGCCCTAACACTTACGGATGACAATGCTATGAATAATAGCTACAGAGCAGTTCTGAAGAGGTGCGGAGGGGAGATCCTCTTCAGGAAGGAATAAACCCCTACCCAAACCCAAAGAGTGAAAGGCATTGCAAGCACCCTGCTGCTATACACATACCCCTCACACACAAGTCACTGCAAACACCATCACTGCAGGCTGACCTGGCAGCTTGGGAGCTGGATTTGGTCAAGTCAGTCTCCAAAGCCATTCAGCTCTAGGCCAATAGCCCTGGTGTTTAGGAAAGCTTCCCAGCTGGCTTTCACATGCTAAACTGCTAAATAACCTCTGGGGCAAATTCCCACTAGAACAAAAACACATGCTGCAGCTCACTAGGGACTGCAGTGGAAGGGAGGCTGGAGTCATTTACATGCTCATACAAGTCACTCTTTTCCCAGCTGTTAAGAGAGTTGCTACATGACAGCAGTAAAGGGCTTACAGTACCTTGCCATAGAAGTCACTCATCTGGTACAAGGGGATGTGCTGTGTGCCCCCATAGAGTTCGATTACCTCTTCATCAGGCACTGGTTTGAGCCCTCTAGATGCAAAACAGAAACAGTTTGTCAATAATCACCAGTCTGCCCAGAGCTACAAACTGCAGAGAAAGAGAAGATAGGAAAACAGGCTCCTTTCTAACTCACACATTTCTTGTGCACAAAAAAAGAGCTAGGGAGCATGACAGCTCCATGGTTTCTTAAGTTTCATATAAAATCTTTCCTGAGATATTTTTCAGATACTTTGTTCGCTCCTTCAAGTTAATTGAGGGGCTTTATCTGCATTTCAGCAGAGCTCGGACAGAGGCCTCCTCTGTCTGTATGCTGTCAATCTGCTGACAGGACTGCCCCACCAAATCAGCCCCATGGCTTGATTTCGGCAGCGCTGGGTTATGGAGGTTGCTTCCACGAAGCTTTCTGAAAATGATGTTTTCTCCTCATTCAGTTCTCCTAAGCAGAAGAAGTTCTTTGCTAAGACCATTCACCAGAGATCGCCATTTTTCCCCAAAACACCATAACCATGGCCGTGGCTGTGAGCTGTACTGTGGACATCAGGTTATCTGACTGCTGCAGGTTTTGTCTCTTGCACAATTTCTGCTGGCTGTTTACTCAAGCGGTCAGCAACTTTCCCTTTCTCCTTTCCTATTCAATCATGATACAGCCTCTGAGAAGATAAAAGTTGCCTCAGTTTTGCTCAAAAGCAAAGGACAATTTAAGAAAATGACACCCCAAGAAGTGTAGTTACAAAAGGACACTAGGATAAAAAAGGTTACATGAGTTTTCACTAAAAGTCTCTTTATGAAGCTGAAGTGAAATACGGGGCAGTACCAACTCCCTTCTTCCCCCACCCGGCCCCAAAAGCCAGCACTCAAAGAAGCCAATTCTCTCTGATTATGAAACTCCCCTCTTAATATTCTTAGAGTGTTTACTGTAACTGAAGTTTAACAGCAAAAGGGCATAGTTCAGAAAAACAAAAACATTGGCTTCCATGCTGTAACACAGATTTACAGGAGCTTTGCTCCTGATATCTATGAACTTCTGTTTCTTACACACCAACCACACTCCACCTTGGAGCAGGGTTTTGTCCCAGTCTTGCAACTTTTTGGAGAGAAGTTTGCCCTGCACAGTTTCAGCCATGGATTCCAAAGCACATCCAGCTCTCCTTAGAGAACAACAGAAGAGAAGGAAAAATAGGACAACCTAGGCTTTAAAGTGAGCCCAGATTCTGATGCATCATTACTTTATTGACACGTCTTCACTGCTTTAAGGTTTTATCTGCACATCCAGAGCACTCTCCTCTTAGCTTTGTGACAAGGCACAGCAGACTGATGCTGGGATACAATCCCTCCTGGAGAAGACCTTAGGCCTGTACGCGGACTACACAGAAGGAGCCCTTTCCTAGTTGCACTGGTTGCTCACAGCCCCAGGCATGCTGAGGCTGAAATTCAGAGTCACGCAGAGTACGTGACCAGATGTGTTATTAACCTTTACAAAAAGCTGCAGGTCTTCCCGCCCACACTTGCCTTGAAACGCTTGAGAAAAATAACACCCTGCAATTATATGCCAGGTAAGCATTTGAAGCAAGTGCAAACCGGGTAAACCAGATGAGTGCTCTGCTCACCACCCCCCCACCCCCATATGCCAAGAACATACACTCAGATTTAGTGATCCACCTTTGTATATATGGACATTTAGAAAATGATTTTCAGAACTGACAGACCTGTATGCCGTCCCCAGCTGGACATAATGGAAAGCATCGATCTTCATGAGAAGACTCTGTGATAAGGGATAGATATGTATTGTTAGAATTGAGTAGGTTTACACTGAAACCATGTTTAAGTTTCAAGTTCCACACAAATGACATTTAGAAAATAAAATTCAATATAAACATCTCAAGCTATGTACTTTAAGCTGCACTTACTCTACAGCCACTTTTACACTCGCTTATTTGTACTGTGAGTTTTTATTATTGGCCTCTCTGGCAAAAGACCATCTATCTATGAGACGAACGAAATACCACTGTCTGTAACACTCCAAAGTTTGTGGACAGGGATGCAGCTGAGAAACAGAGAGAACAATGTTTCTGTAACTCAAAGAGTCTCTCTTATCCTCCTTCCAAGAGCACACACATTCCAAAGGAGCTTTGTGTGCACAAGAGATCTATTTTCTGTCACATTTATCTTAAGCAGAACTAAGCAGGCAGCTGTGTCCAGTCATTTTCTTCACACAAGAGCTCTACCCTCCATCACTCCTCCCCCTCCCCAATAGACTTTTAAGCAAAGATGTTCACAAGCACACCAGGCTGGTAACATTAGAGCCTTCTTTGCATTTTTTGGTATCAGACTCCCCTATTGTTGAGTCATCCCTTCTGCTCCACCTGTCATTCTGATGCCTTAACACGGAAAGCAGCTTCACACTAAACTGTCGCACTGCAACTTGAATAAGGACACAGGATCAAATTATTTGTGCTGTTTGATTCACAATCCTCAGGCACCTTTTTTTATCATGATACCATATCAGTGCAGCTTATACACCGTAGGCAGACCTCCCACTAGTCTGTGAAGAGTGCAGGCAAATCGGCTGAAAGATTTACTTAGACAGGCACTACTCATTTTTATGTGTGTTTTGCAAACTGATGCTGAGAAAAGAGAACTCTCAACTTCTCTTCACTTAAAAGGCAATTTGCTTGACCAGGCTAGTTGCCTCTCTGTTTCTCTGATGTATCACCCAGAGATTTAAAAGAGAAAGAAACTTCAGTTTCTCACACGTCTACGTCTTACTTTGTGAAGTCAGAGGCACAAGCAGAGTGCAGCCACGCTGTCACTGCAGTTAGTACAAAAGACATGGGAAAACTCTATATAGATTCTCTCTTCATTCTCTTTTTTTTTCCCACTGCTGAAGAACAGCACACATGCTCCCGCTTGTACTGCCTGCTTCCCGAATTTCCTCAAAGCTCAGTGTAAGAAAAGCTACTACAGCAAAGTGACTTTCTCTGCTGTGCTCACACCTGACTGTCCGGCTGCTGCAGCCAGCATGGCATCCCTGGGTACCAAGCGTTCAGGGAACCAGACCAAAGCACTGCAAAGGGTTAAAGCTAGTGCTTGCACTTTGCTTCCCTGAATTCCTAAGAAGCATGCATCTCAAGTAGCTTGGACCTTTTTCCAGGCAGTCCTATTATTCGGGGTTGGGGGTGGGGAAGGCTTCCTAAAGCATTCTGACAAGTCATTTCTATTATTAGAGTTAGACATAATGCCTCTGCTCCTGGCAAGTGCTTGTAGATGCAGGATTGAGGTTTGTTGTTTAAATGTCCTGAAAGACAAAAATGATCACACAAACAAGCAGAGTTTTCAATTAATTAGCTAGTGGAATTAACTGACTTTTAAATTGGCAATGCTGTTCACCAGTGCTCTTTGCTAGAATGTCCTTTTCTGCTAGAGGCTATGCAAACACAAAAGGCATCTTTCCCTTGGAAGGTTTATAAACAAGAAGCAAGGCCACCAGGTCTCACTGATAGTTTGGCGACTGCTGATGTTGCAAGCAATGAAAGAAAGTATTTCCACTGAAAACATAACACAATAGAAGACGAAGCCCGGGAGACTGAACGTTGTACAGCTTACCTTTTGTACATCATAGTGAAGTCCACGTATGGCAAACCCTGGAATGTAGTCATACTTCCCAAGTCCTTCTGGATACTGGGAAGACAAACAGCAACACCGTTAGAGGCATAAGCATTGGGTTATCCACAAAGTTGTTTCACCGGGTGAGCTGACTTAGTCCTGCTGGTCATCTCACCCCAGGAACAGAGTGACCAAGGAACAGACACACATCATTTCACCCCTTCGACAAACAAAGTGCATGAATGGAGAAAGACGTAAAGGATCAGTATCCCCAAAACAAGTTTCTTGCATGTAAGGGATGCTAGCGAGAACAGATTCACTCGGGCAGTGAGGACACTTCTAGTAAGCTCCATTCAGTGCAAATATTTGGCAAAGCAACGGCATTGCAGAGCCTCTCTAAAAAGAAAGAGATGACAAGAAGAAAATGCACAGACCAGTCACCTATTGCAAACAGGGTGTCTGTTACTGGACATGCTGTACAGAGTCACTGACGCTGACTTGCACATGTTAAGTCCAGTACAGCTTCCTTCCGTGCTGTCCCACAGTTCATGTTTATCCACCGAGGGTACCTCTGGTTGGAGGCAATTCTCTAGGCATTATTTCCATAGTTGAGTAAAACAGACCAGACCCTTCTAGACTAAAGTTGCTGCTTCCTATTTAGAAAACCTCCTGAATGTAGAGCAAATTGTCTCAGAGGAAATTAATTCCACCTACAGACAAAACTTTCTGCAATCAAAGCTTATGAAACACGAAATTTATCTCAATAAAACAAGTAATTGACACATGCACACAATGTGGCATTTTGCAAGCACGTTTGAGCATCACAAAGATAGCAGTAAGCTTAATTGAGTGGAAATTCTTAGCACGTTATTACCTTGAATTGCTCTATTAGGATGTCTCTGGCAGTGTTGAAAATCATAGAATGTAGTAAATTAGAATACTGTGCTAACGTGTAATCGTAGTCAAAGCCATATATCTCAACATCTCCCAGGCTGATCTCGTTGTTGGCATAGATAGCGGCAGGGTTGAGGAGATTGCAGACTCCAGGTGGAAGGAGATCTAAGAGAAGGGAAAGGGAAGAGGTCAGAGAAACTCAGAGGATCACTGAAATGTCAACTTTTTGTTCTGGAAGTACCACGCAGCAGCAGCAAAGGAGCACAGTGCTGCTGCCGAAGGTTGCTGCCGTTAACTCACTCAAATAACACTCCCTGTGAAAAAACACACCGTGAAACATCTGGCTGCATCTGGTGGTGATGCTGACCCCTTTCACAGTACGACTGACCTTTTGTGTCAGGAAGCCACAAAACAACGCCCTCAGGTCTCTGGCCTACGTGAAGCAAAGCAGATTTTGAGGTGTCCAATTTCCAGCTCACAGCAGCCGCAGTTACAGCAGGCTCACGAACATGAAAGGTAGCTGCAATATATCACCAGGAAAACATGCGCCCCTCACTTAAAACTTAAGCAAAATAAACAGGCTTACACCTCTCTTTGAGAAATCTAGACTACTTCAAATCAGAAATGTTGAGGTTTGCCTTTTGGCAGTTTTTGTTTCTCACAGAAGCACCCAGACCTCACAGAATAATCCTGCAGGTATCGTTAGGGCTTTTTGTTTATTAACGGGCAGGATAAAACCAGGTTTTGTACAAACACCAACCAAATGCAGAAAATCCACATTAAGCTACACTCTAGGAGCACACTGTACTGACAGCAACAAGTTATCTGCGTTCTGCTGATAGCCAGCTGTGGGAACAGCTCAGTCCTTGCATGTGGCTTGTAATTTCAAAACAGGGTTACCGTTCAAGATGTTTGTGAATAACACTTGCTCTCCAGACCACTGGAAAAATGGGGGTTAAGCGTCCTACCAGCTGAACTACCTGTACATCCTTTTGCAAAGCAGAGCTTGAGCTGAGCTACAATGGGAGAGACAGGAACAGACCCTGCTCCCCAGGCTTCCCGCTCGAGAGCTGTCCATTGCAAGATGAGAAAGAGCAATAAAAATAGTTCCCTGTGGTAGGGTCACCTAGTCACAGCCACAATGGGAGACAGAGAGGGGAAGGAGACATTTCCTCTCCCCTCAAAGATGGGTGAAATTTTCTTTGAATGTAGGAAAAGCGCAGACATTTTCCAGATCCTACACAGCACCAGCGGGTAGGATTTTTTTTCCCTTCCTACCTTAGCATTTGGCTTTTAGCAAAAACCCCTGTGCCGGTTCTTTACTGCTTCCTTGCTATAAAACCAAGTTTCATCTGAATCTAGGACAAAAAAAATATTATTAGAAAGAGATATCAGCCATATGGGGATAAAGACTTTGTCTGGAATAATTACAGAATTTATGCAAAAGTCCAAAACACATTTGCAAGCACTAATCCAAAGAGGTGACCAAAGAAACTGGATTCCAGTATATTATTTCTTTTTCAGGGGAGAGATGCATTCCAAAACACACCTGTCCCTCTCTCCTAGCTCACTTTCCTTCAGCCTTCAAATGTAATTCACCGGATCAACTAGAGAGGAATTACTAGGAAGAAAGCAGCATTTTCAGGCAGAAGGCATGAGTTACTGGCTACCCAGCAGGGATGAGAGCTCTTTCCGGGATTCTGCTGGTGGCAAAGTTCCTGAAAGAGGCTGAAAAAAGTAGACGCAACCACACCACTTTCCACTGGGATTTCAAAAGATGAGAAACATAAATAGGATTCAGATGCTCACAGCTTTCATCCTCTCATCATAAATGCTCTTTGTCCCATAAACAGAGCTCCACTTCCTGTCCTCACCTCCAGACAACCTGTGGGAAGATCTTCTAAGCAGGCACTGGGATTTGCAGGGTGTTATTTTCCTTCCTCACAAGGAAAATGACACAACTCTAATCACATCACAGCACAAACACGCGGTGCTTTCCTCTTTTGATGAAACTGCTTTGTTGTTTGTTTGGTTTACAACAGATGTACCCCACTTGCTGCTACCGTCTCCCTGCAGAGAGGTCAAGCTCTTCCAGTATTCACCATTTGCTTACAGATTTAGGACAACACAGTTTGAGAGCAGCACAAAATACCATTGCCTGAACCCCATCTCTCCTTTCAAAGAAGACAAGACCCATCTAGATTCAACAACCTTATGTCAACGACAACTTTTGCGAAAACACAGTCAGGAAAAGCTAAGGGAACGGTGTGATTTCGTAACAAGGAGAGAGTAGTGAGATTCGCCAAGCACATGAAGTGAGTCTTATCTGTGATCTGAAGCATAAGCAGTAACTGTGCCACCGTATGATTTATGGAGTATATTTAGACCCGTCGGATGAAGTCATACCCCTCCCTGCCAGCCTCAAACAGGCAGAGCCTCTCTGCTGCTCTCTGACAGCCTGCTGCCCAGATCGTTTTACCCAACTCAGACATTTTGTCACTATCTGACACAGCACGTTCTCTCTTACATCACAAGAGCCACAAAAAAGATGCACACGCTAGCCAAAACGCTTTGTTACCTTTGCCTCAAACACAACGTGCTCCCTACGCACGCTTCCTGGAGCTCCGTGCATCTCCTTGCCGTGTTTCCTATCTCATCATCGCCGCCAAACCAAGCCTCAGCAGCTTGCTGACAGCTTGCTCTCTGCACATCATCATCGTCCATCTTAAACTTACCCAGGAGGCAGAAGCTGGAAGCATAAGCGAGATCGGTTTCAATACAAGAGCCCGAATGTGTCTGGCTTACTGAGCCAGGTTTCAAGAAGCTTGTTTTTCGGATCGGTTTTGGTCTGGTTTGCTTTTTTGTGGTTTCTTTTTAAAAGATAATCACGTGGGTAGTTACAAATTCTACGTGCTTAATCAAGTCTTGGGCTGCAGACTTGGGTGCTGCTGCTCTGCTAACATTCAGCACGTACACATGATCATCAAGTCAACACAAACAGACGAGACCATCCCGAAGCTCACGAAGGAGCCATTTTTCAAGAACAGCAGCTTTTGCTTTTCCTCTGCCAAGACAGCAAAACAGATGGGTGGACAGGTATGACAAATTACATCAAGGGGGAGAAAAAAAACAACCAAACAAAAAGATCCCCACCAGTTTTGGTTATTAAAACAGAGTGTTAATATCAACTACTCTTTCCAACTGGGTCCTAGCTGGAAAGAGAGACAATATCAAAGCGTGTCCCTGTCTACTCAGCACTTCACCCAGGAAGCATGACCTAAGGGAGAAACAGTGCGTGTACATCTGAGGACAGTGGGGAAAAAAACAGCTCTTGCAATAGATACAACCCCCTGGAATCTGCATACTTGCACAAATTGCTCGGGGTTGCAGCTCTGATGGTTTTAAGGGAAGTGTCTGCACACCCGTCGTACATGATGAAACTCGGCAACAAAGCCTGACCACAAGAAAGCATGTTTGATCTCATGCATTTTTTACACCTGGGTGTAAATGCAAGGTAAACACACAAGATCTCCTTCATTTTGCCACGATGAAGCCCTCAACAGCTGCTTAAATCAGAATATCTTCATGAGAGCAGAAGTGCCTCTTCCCAGGCAATAACCCACATTGTTAGAAAGCAATAACACTCAATCGCCAACATGACAGCAGAGATGGAAACAAAAGCAGGTAATTAACTGCGAGCAACAGTTAGAGACACCATATGGCCCCTTCTGATGTGAAAAATGCTCCAGTCAGGAGGTGCCAAGCACGTCTTGTGCTTTTCTGAGCTCCCGGGGGTACCAGCAGCATCACGAAGGAAATAGTTACTTTTCTCTCAGCCTCAGATCCAGCATGTTAGTGAAGAATAACACATAAAAAAAGGCAACTTACACCCTTTGTACTCCCAGAAGTCCAAAACAGCAGACATCTGTGCTAATTTTTTTGTAAGACTAGGGAGGAAAAGAACGATACTGAAAAGCAGATGGGCCGTCACCCTCCACGTTCTTCATGAATTAAAAAGTTCCCTTTGCTCACACTGACTTGCTTTCTGAAGACAAACTGCCAGTTTTCCTCTCTTCCAAGCACCTCTTTATCCTTTTCAAGTGTTGTTTTGTACCATTTCCTGCAAAGTGCTCAAACCAGCCAAAGCAGATGCCTCTACCAAGAGGGTACGGAGGAGGAACTATTACTTAAAGAACATTAAATGACAGAGGAACGATGTCAAAAGAGTGCTGAAAATTATCCTGTTGCATTGTCAATTTATGCCATCGTGTCTAACTATTCTGGGATTTTTCACTGATGAAATCTACACGAACGAAAAGCAATATTAAAAAAAAATATCGGTTCATTCCAAAAAGGCATTTTTTTATAAAAACGAAGGCACTAGACAAATGCTGCTTCAAGAGCTCTTAACCAGGAAAGCAGAACTGGAAAGAGAATGTAACTCATCGCACTTCCAGTTCTGGCTGCTAATTGTTACTCCCAGTCCCAGCACAATCTGCAGATGCCGCGGCACGTGAACGCGCGCACTCCACAAGCCAGTGGCAGGGCCATTCATTATCGTAGCACTAGACTTGTTTCCTGGTTTGGCAAAGAGTGAGGCTCTTAAATCTTTGTGTCTGCTTGAGATTAGTGACACAAGCAGAATCAAAATGTGCTGGATTACAAAAACCACCTCTGCGCTACACCAGAATCACCAGGGCAATGATCACCCATTTCTCTCCCATTTCCAAATGCAGCGGGCACGGGTCGCTGATTGCAGCCTGCGATTTCAGATGCAAACGTTATCTCAAACGTTATCTCTTTATCGACACAAACTAAAAAGAGTGAGGATTACCTCTGAGCTACACCCTCAGTGCTATTAGTGCCTAACCAAGTTCTTGCGTCTGCAAACTTGTCTCCAAGCAGAGGTAAGAAGTTATGTTAAAGGTTCCTTAGGAAAGCTCATTTATTGTAGCCACACTTACAAGTTCGAAAGATCTAGGAAAAAACACACACTCGCTTACAGCCAAATCCTCACTCACTTGCCACTTCCAGGAGTGGATGTTTCCTAGAGTGCAAGACTTCAGACATTGCTTACTGAGAGAGCACAAGAGCCTTCCTTGATGCTTCAGATGCCATCAGACCAAAATACAGCAAGTCTTGCTCAACACCATCCCTCTCACAAATGCAATTACACTTTTCCTTTTGGGAGAGGGAAAAAAAAAAAAGCACAGAAAGGGGAAGCAGCATTCTCAAATTCTTGCAGGTAATGCAATTTGGTCTTAAGGGTTAAAGTTGCAAAAGATAGGGAAGGAATAATGAGAACAGCTTCTCTTGAGCCAGTGCAAAAGGGAGATTTTTACCTCAGCAGCACCTTTTGTGTAGCTATGTTATGCTGTCATTTGTGCTGTCATTTGTATCACCACACTCAAACCTGGCAGAGCACAGACGTGTTTCTACAAAGTTGTGAACCTCTAATGCCAGGGCTCTGGCCACCAAACCCGTACCATGACTGAGCTTTACTGCACAGAGGCTCTCATCCTACACACCCTGCCCTGTCCAGCCTGGCCAACATTTCTCACTGGAATCCCCTCTGTACAAAAATGTGACACTGATCTACAAATCAGATCCCAAGCAAGAGTTGGTTTGAAAAATACATTAAAAAATTCTCCTGTCAGAGACCTGTCGCCAAGAGCAATAGCAATAACAGACAATATAGGACAAAGGTGGAGTTTCAGAGAAGGAGAAGGTGGCGCCACAGATTTCTTCTCAAACTCAATGCTGATGAGTATTGAGACATGACAATGTTTTCAAATCCATAACCTGACCACAAACATTCATTTTTACATCAGTTAAAAAACAAGAACAAAGGAACTGACGCCACATTTCGCACAACTCAGTTGAGTCGTCAAAGCAACAATTTAAACCAACTTGGGACTAACTTTGTTTATGTGTCTTCTTGACAAGACCTGAATAACAGCACAGTCCTGAAATTTTGGTTTGGGGAGCTACTCTTTAAACAAAGAAGGGCCTTCTTATTTAGCATGTCTAATAGTTACGTGAAGGTTTGTGTAGAGTCTGTTCTGTAACACGTGGGCTACTGCACCTAATTTGATTTTGCATTTAGTCCTGCCGATTAGCTCTCCATCTCCAGTAATAACTGGATCTCTTCCATCCCAACATAGCGTAACTCTGTGAATACCAACTTCACAAAAGAATAGGAAAGCAACTGTAGGGCTACTGCAAGATGCATCATCAGAGGTACCAGGTCTTGCAAGCAGCCCACCCCATTCTCCTCCCAACCTCCACACTCCACAGCCCCAGCACTAAAAAGTCTCACAATAAAGTGAACATTTTCCCAAGGGATTACAACACAGCCTACTAACACATCTGTATTTACAGTTTCAATACCACTAACTATGGAAAAAATGCCTTTGAGGATACTAAGGTCCAAACATCATTACAGTTCTCACAAGTTGGAACTTCTTTCAAGAGGCAAGGCTAAACCCACAACTCAAGTCTTGGAGCAGGGACTTAACACGAACTTACTGTCCTTGGCCAGCACCTGTACTACCTTCAGCTGCCCAGGCAAAGGAGCTCACATCCTGCAAAAGCTGGAATGGAGCAGGCTGAGCACCCAACAGAGCAGCAGCCAACTCCTTTACATTTGTGTATCACCAAGGACTTTGGATTTTATGTCAAATCTCGTGTACTGGAAGGTGGGAGAGGAAGGAATGACAGAACTTGCCAACTTCAGAACAACGAGACAGTTCTTCCAGATGTCTATGCCTGGCTCCTGCCTTTCTGCAAACCCACAGATAAATAAAAGCTAACAGAGAGCTATGTAGAAGCGGACAAAAAGGCACACTTCCTAGCTTTCTACAGTGCTTACCTTCAGCAATCCAAGAATCAAGAAGGAAAAAGTTCCCTGCCCTTATGTCACAAAAGCTAATCTTTTACATTTTTAGGAGAGTTTAATATAGTGGTGGTCTGCTGCTGCCAAAAAGACCACAATCCTGGTTCTCTCTTTACGCATGGACAGATGCGGTGAGTGGCACGAGTCTTCTCCTTGCTAAGCAAGATTTCAACATAACTGATGGAGCCAGGTAACTTCTTGGTCAGAGAAGCAACAACATACACACATGAGTAAAAGGTGTTTCGCATCTGTAACACAAACTGAGCTCAGGATCAGGAGACATCCCAGCCGCTGTAGCATCAGTATTCTTCACAGTCACCCTCGTGCCAACCAATACAACTGTCTATCTGTCCTAGATCTCTCCATTTGCCAACCAAGGGCGGAGAAAAAACACAACAAGCCCTTCATCTAGACCATTCACCATGACAGTATCCACATTAGCAGGGCCAGTTGTGAAGATCCCCACAAAACCTCTGTGTGCGTCCTGAAATGCTGAGACCGGCCAAGGGAAAATCCACAGAGGGAAGTCCGTGATGGAGAGAGGGAGCCCATGGCCAGATTTCAGTAGAGAGAAGATGGTCCGAGAGAGCCCGGGGCAATGGAGGCGAATGGATGGCATCACCAGGGAAGAGGCTTCAACCCCGGCAGCTGCAGAGCAATGGGCACGTCCCCGGTTCTGCAGTGCGGGGAAGGAAAGGCACCAAGATGCAAAGAGAGGAAAGAAAAGGAGCGGGGAAAAAACCAAACCAATAAAAAAACAAAGAGGGAAAACGGCCAAGCCCGCAGGACGTGGCAGTCCCAGCGCCCGGAGGCGGCCCTTACCGTAGACCAGCTTTTTCATCTCGTGGTACCTGGCCCACAAGTAGGTCTTGGTGTCGGCTCCCTCGGCTGGGAGGGGCTGGTTGCCCGCGGTCGGGCCGGG